GCTTTTTTACAACTTTTTTTACAACCTTTTTAAATTTTTTAAAATAATTTTTTAGACTTTTTACGCAATATTTGAAACTTGTTTTACAATATTTTTTTACAACTTTTTAAAATTTTTTTACAACCTTTTTTATAAATTTTGGACTTTTCACACAATTTTAAACTTATTTTACAATGTCTTTTTACAACATTTAACAACTTTTTTTACAACCTATGAAGGTTGAAAAAACATAAGCAAAAGGTTGAAAAATGTTGAAACGCAAATAAAAATGTTTAAAAAGGATGATTCTTTTAGAGGTTTAAAAAGTTTCAAAAAGTTTTTTACAACTTACTCTTTTTTTAAAAGAGTAAAAAAGGTTGTAAAAAAAGTTTAAAAATGGTGTAAATCAAGTTCAAAAATAGTTAAAAATGTTTAAATAGTAAAAAAAAAAACGTTTTAACAAGAAGTTGTAAAAAATAGTAAAAAAGTTGTATTTGTTTTTATAAAAGGTTTTGAAATAATTTGTCAAATATGTTTAAAAGTGGTTGTAAAAAGTCTATAAAAAGTTTCTGCAAAAAATCTTAATTATTTTAGAATATTGTAAAATAATAAATTTGTAAACTTTTTCACAACCTTTTTTAACATTTTTTTTTTTTAAAATTATAAATTTTGACTTTTTACACAATTTTTTAAACTTTTTTACAACCTTTTTTTAAACCTTTTTATAACTTTTTAGATTTTTTACACAATTTTTTAAACTTATTTTTCAATCTTTTTTACAAGCATTTTTAAACTTTTTTTTACAACCTAGGAAGGTTGAAAAAACATAATAAAATGTTGAAAATTAAAGAAAAATGTTTAAAAGGATGATTTTTTTGAGGTTTAAAAAGGTTCAAAAACTTTTTTACAACTCCTTTTTTTTAAAGAGTTAAAAAGGTTGTAAAGATAATTTGAATAGTTTGTATCATAAAATCATTAATAACCCAAGTAAAATTATTGTGTGTAAAGAGTTATAAGTACGTTGCTATTATATGTCAAGAAAATATATGCACAATGCAATTATGAGTTACGTATTGCTATTATCGATCAAGAAAGTGTGATAAAAAATTAAAATAAATGTACAAGTATATTGCTTTTATGGATACAAAAAAATAAAGGAAGTTTGACATTTTTTGTATTATTATTAGGTTTTGCTGTCGATATGCTCGTTATTGACAGACCCTAACCCGGATGACCCTTTGGTCCCTGAGATTGCTCATATGTATAAGACCGATAGGAGCAAATATGAGACCACAGCTCGAAGCTGGACCCAAAAGTATGCCATGGGTTAGGTGTGGTGGTGTCTTGTGGGTCAGTTTAATTTCTGGTTTGTTTTTTCTATTTTTGTTGGATTTAAAAAAATTATGAATTAAAAATATGGTAATTAAGTGATTATTGTAAGATATATGGTTAAATAGGGAAAGGTAACAAAAATCCCATTTATGTTTTTATTTATTATTTATGGAGAAGATATTTATCATTTGTGCTAGACAAAACTGTAAAAATGGTCCTTGTGGTTAGCTGAAAATTGCTATTTTAGTCCAAAAATGATTGTTATTTTAGTCCAAAAATGTTTGTACTGTGTCAAAAATTTTCATTTTGTTCCAAGTTTGGTCCAAAATTTTTGGAACTTTTTTAAATGATGAATGTGCCCCTTATTATTTTATTTTCCATTTTCTTTTATTACAAAAATTAAAAAACTATTAAAAAAACAAAAATAAAATACCCCTACCCTCCCCCCCCCCCCTCTCTCTCTTTATTTTTTCTTCAAAACTCTCATTTCCCTCAAATATGCCATCTCTGACGACCCACAAATCTGCCATCCTCGAGATTGGCGAGATCTATCGGTTTTCCGACGACACCGACATTTAGAAAATTGCCACTTCTCCGTTGACGTGACAATTTGATGAGCATGACGATGAATAGATCTGGTGAGATATCTAGGGTTTAGGGTTTGTAGAGGCGACAACGATGATGAAGGGGACGAAGGGGTTCAGGTTCGGACGATGAAAGGATTTGAGCAACGTTGTAGGGGTTCAGATTTCGTCGTTTAGGGTTTGAACGGTGTCGTATGGTAGCTCAAACAGTTTTTCAGATCCGACGCCGTTTAGGGTTTTAGTCGCCCGTCTCTCTCCTTCTCCGTTGAGGTGCCATCGTTTGTAAACGATTTCTAGCAAACGATTTCTCGATTTCTAGCAAACCGAGCTTATTTCATTGGCCTCAACCATCGTCTTTATCGAGTTACAGATCAACCGTCCTCCCTCCCAAACGACGCTGTAACAAGTTCGTTCAAAGACGAAGGTAGACGAGGAATCTGGAATGTAGCGGCGACAATGACGAACTAGAACAGAAAACCGACGATGCCAAGGGATTTGAACTCAATGATGGCTTACGGTGGTGATGACGAAGACGATCGTGTGACTTTCCATACCAAGAACATCCATCATTTGCACCGATTTGGTTTCATTCTCGTTGAAGGTTTTCGGATTTTTTATTTGAAAACTCAGTTTCAGAAAACGATAATCATTATTTTTATTTTAATCAAGTAAATAAAAAACTAAAAAAGTAATGACAAAATCATCATTATAAAATAGTTCAAAGCAAGTTGGACCAAACTCGCAACAAAATCAAAGTTTGGACCGATAATGCTAATCCGAATCAAAATTTGCAGTTTTGTTTTTGTGATAGGCAGGGTGGGAGACTTATTTATATTGTATGAGTACTAAGTATACTTTTATCATTTTTTAGTGGTTTAGAGACTAAAAAAAAGGGAAATTTCAGTACTTATATTTTCCGTAATTTACTTAAAAGGTCTTTAATTTTTTTATTTTTTTTATTTAAGCCATTATTTATTTACTTAAATCGGTTAATTCTGTTTTTTCGTTTTCTAACCATTTTCGAGGTTACTATAACCAATACTCAATCTCATGTTTGACAAAAATGGTGCATTTGCTGTAAAGTTATAACAAAAATGGAAGGTTAATTCTGTTTTTTTAATACCTTTTACAATCACATAGTCTTGCAAAAATATTTATTAATCATGAGTCTGTATACCCTTGTTATATTATTATATTGGTTACTTACTAATCAGGCATCAAAGATAACATGATGAGGGTCAAACAACTTGATCCATTTGTTTGGAGCTACATCCAATTTGATTTGTTATTTAATGTGTTCTATAATCTTTATCCACTTCCGGTTAAAACGTAAATATGTGAAGACGAAATTATTATTATTATTATTATTATTATGGAACTGCAGAAGAAGTTATTATTTATTAAGTTAAATATATAATATAACAATTCGTTTTAGTCTATTTTAAAGTTTAAGAACAAATTTTTTCACCATAATGATAATATAATTTTTTTGTCCATTTAATGAACTTTTATTTCATTTTACACAATAACAATAGTCTAGGCATGTTCAACATGCAACTTTTTAGATCTTTTACGAAAAAAAAAAAAACTTTCACTTCAAAAGTTATTTCAAGTAATCTTTTGAGAGTTTTAACTTTTTAAAGTTATTAGTTTTGGTTTTTATCCAATTTTACACATTTAAAAACTAAAAAGTAATTTTGACTTTTGACAAACACTTTTGCAACTAAAAGTTATAATTTCTAGCTATAAGCTAGTTTTGTCAAACACATTTGGTTATTTAATTTGACACTTGACTCATTATATCCTCTTCACAATCTTTTTTTAATCCATATATTTAGAAAGAAAATTAAACTGATTAAATTGTGTTTCTCTATTTAGAAACACAAAGATATAAAATAGTTATCTAATGTACCTATAATAGGTTGATTGATTATATCCTCTTAACAATCTCATTTTAATCTATATATTTAGAAACACAAATATATATAAAATAGTTATGTAATCTGACCTATAATAGTTTGACTCGTTATATCCTCTTAACAATATCATTTTAATCTATATATTTAGAAACACAAAGATATAAAATAGTTTTCTAATTGGACCTATAATAGTTTGACTCATTATATCCTCTTAACAATCTCATTTAATCCATATATTTAGAAACACAAAGATATAAAATAGTTATCTAAATGGACCTATAATACGTAATATCCTCTTAACAAGCTCATTTAATCAATATATTTAGAAACACAAAGATATAAAATAGTTATCTAATTGGACCTATAATAGTTTGACTCGTTATATCCTCTTAACAATCTCATTTAATCCATATATTTAGAAACACAAAGATATAAAATAGTTATCTAATTATAATAGTTTGACTCGTTATATATATATATATATATATATATATATATATATATATATATATATATATATATATATATATATATATATATATATATATATATATATATATATATGGGTGAATTCCCGATTTAACCATGTCCTCAAAATTAATTGTTGGATTACTACGATTTTGGAATCTCAGTTAGATGACATTTCAGACTCCTTTTATCCGTCACGTAGTACCTTTTGAACTCATTTCATATTTTCATATGACACATCTTAGTCACTAACCAAGTAATTATAATATGGGCCTATATATGAGGTTGAAAGAATTAGAAATATCCAAAATCCGAACTAAACACATCCGAAATCCGACATTTCAGACGCATACATTACATACATACATAACATGTGCCTTCGAAATAAAATTTTGGGTTAAACCCATCAAACATAGCACACTGAAAAACATATGTAATGTTGTTTTGAGAATAAATGTTAAAAAGTAGCTTTTGGACTCGAAAATGCTAACAACTGGAAGGTAACAAAAAATAAATAAACTTACCAAAACTAAAATACAATTTCGATAAAACAACACAGCAATACAGAATTTAGTTGAAAATCATGTAGTAATGTAGTATGTTAATATCTTTAAAAAATAACTATTTTTTTATTCAACTATAGAAAATAATAACAGATTTTATATCTTACACACATGTATAACTCTTTTACCGAAGATAACAATATAAAAATTACATAATGTCGTTTTACTCACCCTCTGAAAGAGGGTATCTATATAAAGCCATTTTCTACAAACACAATCATTTTCCTCCGGTTATTCACGGAATCTTGATAACCAGGGGTGAGGGGATCTTCAAGGTGATTGAATCTGCTTTTTTTCTTTCGATTATCTCCTCGATCTCTAATGTATATACGTGAGTAGCTATTACGTCTTCTAATTTGAGTTAGGGTTTGTATAAATTGCTGAAAATCCAGGATTTCCTTGTGGTGTTGAGCGATGGCTTCGAAGCGGATCTTGAAAGAGCTCAAGGATCTTCAGAAAGATCCTCCTACCTCTTGCAGCGCAGGTACGTCATCGTTATCGATCTGTTAGATCCTGTTTTTTATTTTCTTTTCTTTTCTTTTTGTGAACGTCTGGTTTTGATCTTATAATCTTCTGTGTTGAGAGTCCTCTATTGTGGTGATACATGTTCTTTGATTAGAATTTTGCTTTGATTTGGTGGAAAAGCTAAATTACAGGTTTTTGCTTCGCGATTCTGTTGAAACTTTAAGGTAGATGGTCTAATATGTCGAGAAAAGTCGTCTGTTTTAGGTGTGAGAGAATCAATTCTTTATGTAGGTTTGCTCGTTTGATGTTATATGATAGAATCAGATAGATCATGGTCAATTTGTGCTTTATCAAGGTTTTCACCTGTGAATGCCCAACAAAATGGATTATCATTATGGGCATACCATGTCATTTAGCTTCTAGATCAGAATCAGATCATCCAAAAACCTTCTTGTCTACCATCTCCATTAAGTCATGTCCCTATTAAGTCAAAAAGAAACAACACCTAAATCTCTTCACTTCTGATCCCTATCATTTCTCTTAAAATGATCACATTGAAACCGAAGAAAAAAACATTATGTTGTTTAACATTTATATGCTTTCAACCAACAACTTCCTGATTTGTAATTAGAAACCGAAAATACATTATCTTGTTTCTGTTTAAATCTCCAAAGGTGTATCGTCTAATCATCTTTATGTGTAAATTTAATTTTAGGCCCAGTGGCAGAAGACATGTTTCATTGGCAAGCAACAATCATGGGTCCTCCAGATAGTCCTTATGCTGGTGGAGTTTTTCTAGTTACTATCCATTTCCCTCCGGATTATCCATTTAAGCCACCTAAGGTAACCCTCTGCTTCAATCAAAGAGATCTTATACCTACATTCGATCATTTTTATAACTAATATATTTCCCTTTCCGCTTGTTAAATTACATTTATGCCCTTTTGTAGGTAGCTTTCAGGACGAAGGTTTTCCACCCAAACATCAATAGCAACGGAAGCATTTGTCTTGATATTTTAAAAGAACAGTGGAGCCCAGCTCTAACTATCTCCAAGGTTAATTTTTTTTTTTTGATCTTTTAAAAAATAATGTTTAAATAAATATCGGCAGCTAAAGTTTGTAATGATGATGATGATAATTAGGTTTTGCTGTCAATATGCTCCTTGTTGACCGACCCAAACCCGGATGACCCGTTGGTCCCTGAAATAGCGCACATGTACAAAACAGACAGAAACAAGTACGAAACCACAGCAAGAAGCTGGACCCAAAAGTATGCCATGGGCTAATTCGTAATTCTCTCTCAACCCCTATCAAATTACCAAAAAACCCTCCTTTTTTATTTTTTCTTTTCCTAAAATCGAATGTATGGAATTTAATGAAATATGCAAACTGTGAAATATATGTGGTTTAATTGTAATTGTAAGATAAACGTGACCTCCTTTCAAGTTTCGAGACTCTCTTGTGCTTTTCATTCTCTATCTCTTAAAAAAATAATAAAAGGTTAAACGTGATGAGACATAATATTTCTTTTGATTATAGGCTTATAGCAAAGCAAAACAACTTTACTTTTGAAGCAGCCTTTCTCGATTTGTAACGTGCTTTGTTGGCTAAAAATAATTGAAGATAAGATTAATTGTAATTGTAAATGCAAAATAAATCGAAAGCGACTTTCTTTTTATAGCACGAGTCAAATATGTTTCACGTATACTGCTTTTTTGTAATCGTTAATTTGAATCTAAATTTTTGGTAAATCATTTTGAATTTTTAAAATCCGGTTTTAATGAAAAACAATGAAAATGAACGTGTGAAATGTGAGGAAAGAAGAAAGTATAAAGAAATATATGTATGATAATCGGAAGTTGCATGAAACAAGAATTTGTATATATGGATTATCATATCCATGATCCTGAGTCGATCAATGTATTTGATTATCAACAACTAAAAATCTATATGCATGTATCGATAACTTTTTAGTTTACGAAGATCGATCAATGTATTTGATTATCAACACCTAAAAATCTATATGCATGTATCGATAACTTTTTAGTTTACGAAGATAACTTTGAAATATGTCATTTTTTACAAGATAGACTCACAAACTTATTTTTGTTTGTTTAATTGGAGTAGGAGTGTTAAATTCAAACCGGATTGAGTTTGTTGATTACAAAACTTAGTTTTATCGATTGACTCATTGTAATTTTTTAGCTCCTAGCTAGTTTTATAGTAACAATTTATGTGTTAAAAAAAAACATAAATATAACTCTAATTACTCAATACGAAAAAGTTAGATGATATTATATATAATTAATAACTATTGTATAACTCGGTGTATAACACAAATAATATTATAGTTCTTTAAAGAATACAAGAGTTTTGATAGTATTTCCTTGACATGACATGATATGGTGGTGGTTCAATGCATTTAAAGTATTTCGAAAACATAAAGAAACTATTTTAAGTTACTTAAGTACAAATGTAATTTATAAAAACTATTATAAAAACAGGGTAACAACTTTTCATGAAATTAGAGAGAAAATGTTAACAATTGTGCAAAGAAGAAAATTGTTAGTAACTCATTAAATTCAAGAGATGAATTATAAAATATGAACTGCAAAACACATTAAAAGAGGTAGCCCAACGTGTTGGTTGGGTAACGAATGGGTTTATCGGCTAAAGATCTCATCTATGTCGATTGATTCTTTTTAATGTTTTTTTATTCCCTTAAAAAGTTAAAAGTGCTCTAATAAAATCTTGCAGTTAAGAAAAAACAATAATAGTTTAAATATTTCAGTAAAGGCTATAAACAAAAAACTCTTTGTCTATTTTTCTTTTGCCTATTTTCGCTATTGTTCAGATTTAATATAAAACGTAAACGATACTTCCTATGAAGAAAAAAACTTATACTAGTCACTACTCACTAAACTAAGGTTAACCTAATATTGAGTTTAAATGTGATTAAGAAATAATAAAGTATACTAAATTATCCAAATTTTGATTTTTGATGACATGATCGCTTAGCATTTCCCCATTTGAAATTTTGAATGATTAAATTAAAAACAAATCACATCAACGCGTTTAATATTTATATGTAAATAGAACATAATTTTCATCCCTACACATCATGACATCAATAACTTTTAAGAAGCCTAAAAAAAACAACTAAGAACTTATGATAACACAGACAAAATAGTATTAGTTGATTATGGAAGGTTTGAAATGCTCAAAGGCTCAAAGCCTTGATGAAAAATTGAAAATGCAATGCTTTCGGACATCAAATTTGAATAAATGTTAGTATTTGTGTAATTTAATGGCTCCAACTCCAAGTTGGTATTTAATCTTGGGTTTGATGAACAAACTTTGACTTGTATAACACCAACCGAATTCCCAATGTAAGTTGCTATTGGAATTCCAAAGGGAAGCTACCAAGCATTTGTGGAATCAAGTGTACTACTTCTCTTTGGTTTCATACTTCTCCCTACTGTCTTTGTAACTACCAATATAAGAGTACTTGGATAAAAACTTTCAAGATTTATTTTTTTGAATCTAATTATTTTAGCTTTAAGAAAATATTATAACGGACAAATTTATAAAACAATTTAAACTCATTATTGTGACATGAAGAGTTGAACTCCATCCAAACACCCTAGTGGTTTAGATCATGTCTTTAATTGATGTTTTGGATTTCATCTTTAAAGTGACTGATAATAGATTAAAATTCATATCTTCTTGAAAAAAAAAATTAGGAATGTCGGTTTAGGCTTTTTTTTTTTTTTTTTTTTTACGATTTTGAAGCTGATGATATGTGCGATATTTATATTTGACATGCTATTATAAAGTATTTGCTTTTAAAGGAGTTTGCTTTAACTTAAATCTCTTGTATCTATTCATTTCTGATTATGATAGATTTAGTTTCCTTATTTTATTATTGCTTGTTATACAAGTATCTTCATCTTCTTGTATAAATACCTGATCTAGTTCTTCAATAATAATCATCTCGGAACACAATTCTTCCCATTAAACCTATTTCCCTTTTCTTTATGGTATCAGAACGGGTGTCTTGATCCGTTTGAAAACTCGAGAAAACCATGACCGGACCAGCTGAAGCCGGTTCATCCACCAACCTATCCAATGATCCTAACTCTCCGTTCTATATACATCCAAATGATTACCCTCGACAATTATGTACTAACGAAACCTTAAACGATGGCAACTATGCAGATTGGTCTAGAGATATCAATGATTTTCTGTTTGCAAAGAACATGATTGGCTTCATCAATGGCACCTTGGAACAGCCAAAGGAAGGCGCACCAGAGTTGACGGCGTGGCAACCCAACGATACAATAATCAAAGGTTGGTTGATCGATGCCATGTAAAAAAAATTAGAGACATCGTAAATTACACACGCACAACAAGAGAAATATGGGAAGATCTTGAGGACATTTCGAAAAAGAAAGTGCACCATTGAAGACACGACAAGAAAACGTGTTTATCTCAGCAGACTTCACGAAACTAAAAGGAATCTGGGATCAGATACAACCCTTCTCGTTGCAACCTAGGTGTATGTGTGGAAAGTGCTCATGCAACGTTGGAAGAACACTCATCGAAGACAAGGAGAAAGAACACATCTATGAGTTTGGAATGGTTAGGACCCAAATTTTTAGCATCAAGCCCATGTCAACCCTAGGGGTTGTTAAAAGACAAACAACAGAGAAACATCACCACATCCCGCAAAAAAGTTGTCGAGGCAGCAATAGATAAAAGTCTTGTCGACAAAAGGAATTTAAAATGTAAGCACTGTGAAAAAATGGCCACAACATTGATGGTTGCTTCGAGAAAATTGGATACCCAAAATGATGGGAAACTCGTCAACACAGACCTACAATTGACAAAAGAAAAACTCTAAGGTGAAACCGAAGGCTACCACGGTCAAGCTTTGAGAACAACCCCATATCCGGTCTTAGTATTGAATAATACAAAAAACTTTTGATACAGTTGAATGATCCACCAAAACCATAAGTAAACATGGCAGGTAAAATTTACTTTGTTTTTCTATGCGTAATCGACTCTGAAGCCACATAACACCTCACATGTAACGACTCCATATTAATGTCCCTAAAGGAATATAACGATGTGGGTACCCGTTAGTATTCCATATAAATATAATGTTGTAGTACAAGGCGTTGGAAGTGCACAATTGTCAAACGATTTGGATATCAATAAGGCCTTATATATTCCCGATTTTAAGTGCAACTTGTTATCAGTTAGCAAGATTACTTAAAGTCTTAACTGTTTTGTAACCTTTTTCCCCGATATTTTTTACTTACACGACTTACACTCGAGGAAGCTAATTAGCATGAGGGAGGTGTAGGAATGGTCTTTATCACATGGAAAAGGACAAAGGAGCTACTGCAATGGCTGTCACTATAAACTCTGAGATCTGGCACAAAAAACTAGGTCATACTTCAAACTCTAAACTTCAACAAATTGATTTTATAGGTAGCATAGATAGTATTGATCACTGTGAATCCTATGTACAAGCTAAACAAACTCGGTTACCATTCTCTAATAGTAATATTAAAACAACTTCTTGTTTTGATTTAATTCATTGTGATATATAGGGTGGGTATCGAGTACCTTCAATGTCAGGAGCATGATATTTTCTTACAATTGTTGATGATTATAGTATAACCACATGGGTTTATTTGATGAAAACAAGTCTGACACAAGTTCATATTTAATCAATTTTTATAACATGATCACCACACAATTTAATAAGAGGATTAAAGGGATAAAAAGTGACAGTAGAGGAGAATTTGTTGCCAATGCCATGATAAAATTCTATGAATAGCATAGGATCCTTTTAGAGACATCATATGTGCACAACCCACAACAAAACAGGGTTGTGGAAAGAAAGCATATGCATCTTTTAATGATTGCGAGAGCCTTACATTTTCAAGCAAATCTACCTATAAAATTATGGGGAGAATGTGTTTTTCAACCACCTATCATAATTAGGCTGTCTTCATGAGCAATTGTAACATCTTAAAAATCACACCCAATTTAATGTTTTCAAATTAACCCATTTACTAATAAAAGTGTATACAAAACCATTGTTTCCAAAATATTATTTAAAACAGTCTCCCAAGATCAACAACATAAAAATCAGGATGTGCACGGTCACACCTTCGCCTTTCCACGGTCCTCTAAAGTACCTGAAACCATAAACAAACATTGTAAGCCAAATCTTAGTGAGTTTTCCCCAAAGTACCACCACACAACACACATATCATATACAAACAATAATGTTGGGTCCAATCAGTCATCAGACTGGAATACCACCTGGTCCACAGCCATCGGTCTAAATTACCCCTGGCCCAATTAGTCATCAGACTGGAATGCCAATATACAACAGGTCCACTCAATCATCATACTGGAATACCAAAATACAACGGGCCCACTCAGTCATCGGACTGGAATACCCTCGGGTCCACTTAGCCATCGGGTTGGAATACACCCG